CTCCTAATGCCACCTCCCGCAGCTGGACTCTCGCCCAGTAGGAACTTACTAAACTAGAGGCAAGTATCGTATTCATTTTGAAAAATGTATACGGTACGATACAAAAAAAATTGTAATATAGTATAATAGTGGATTCAGCGTTCATAGGCCGTTAGACCTGTCGCCGATTTTTAACATCGTCGAACATTCACAGCTAGTTGCGATCTTGAACACACAACTCAGAGCTCCCAATTATGCTGCGCTTCACCGTCCGTATTCCTCGCCGATTCTGACCAGACACTGGCGCACTGAGCTGGGATCAAACCCGCACCTCTCTGCTCCAATACTGGTACTCTGTACTGTAACCACTGGGCCACCCTGCCCACATGTGTAAAATAAAGGCCCTGATCTGTAAACAAAGACATATACATATGAAATAACAGTTATTTATACCTGTAGACGACGTATAACAGGATGCTCCACACCAGCGCCAGATAAAAGCATTTCTTCAAGGTGAAATTATCCAGTCTCTTCTTACATGAGCTGACCAAATTCATTTTGCGGGACATCTGTCACAATTTTGGATTGTCTATTAATTATTTTTAGAACGTGATAGCAGGTGCAATAGAAGGTGGAAAATTGGTCTTTTTATTTCATTTGGGAATTATGATATGAGAAGAAAAATAATTCAAATCGGATGAAATGTTACGCCAGAAATGGTGAAAATAAAATAATAATCGATGTTTGCTGAAAAATACTCAAAATTTATCAATCAATATAACGTGTAGTACGTCGTGAAAACTGTAAATTGACCGGCAATTTAAATTGATTAAATTTGTCAGTTGTTTGGTTGCGTGCACTCCGCGAAAATACAAAATAATTAATAAAAGTGGTCAATATGAAAAATAAATCAAGTTAGTGTGTAATTAAAACAAGTTAATGTTTCAATAAACGGAAAAAATTTGTAAATAAACCCAATTTTAGGAAATTAGTGAATTATTATTTGACGATTTCCAAACTGTTCTGCCTGTGAATCACTCGTCGAACGTTGCTCACCGAAGCTAGTCAACTCGAAATGTTAACATATTCTGGTGAATAAGATCAACCAAGAAAATTAAAACACTTCAGCTATCAGTGATATCTTATGTGTTCTTGGCTTGTAGGATTTCGATTCGAGAAAATTTAGCGAAAATTTTACATGAATTCGGTAGGTATACGAGTGAAACTGACAGACAGAAGCAAGGCGTTTACAAATTTTTGACGCCAAAGTGAAGCCTTTGGGCATGTATCAGAATGCTCCTGATGTTAATTGTTGGAAAAACAGTGGAAAATTTTGTTTTAAAAAGATATAGTTTTTTAAAAGATGATGCATGGCGAATCCATTTTTTCACGTTCACCAATACAATGCGTAAATATGTTGCCTATTTTTCGTATGCACAACTACTGTGTTTGGAAAATTGCGATCAATTGACACTAATAAATTGCATCATTATGTATAAAGTGTATGGGTCGATTTAGTGTGTTTCGTAATATTTTTATGTCTTCATGTTGCCAAATTTATCTAGAGTCACGTTGACGTAGTCGACAGTGGCTGTGCAAATTTAAAGCGCTGGGAGCGAGGTAATTAGTTCAGGTTATGTATTTCTCTATAAAATTTATATTGTAATGATATTTTTACGTTATTTTTTCATTGAGCTTTCAAATCAGGAAGTTTCCGCGAATTACCCTGTATAAATTCCCCAGTGGTTAGATTTTCTATTCACTAGTTATAAAAAAGTAAGAAGTGTTTTTTTAGATGACAAGTACATAGCTGACAGAGACATCGATTAGATTTGATGGTCACACGATTCCACATATAACAATGTCTTCTACAAAATATTTTACGTTCTGCTTTGGGAAGTTGACAAGTTGATTATTTTGATGAATTTCAATCGATGCAAAAAGTAATCTGCATATAATTACCGATAAAATTATTATAATAAAACATAAATCCATGGGAACAGCTAAAATAACATTCTACTGCGTTTTGCAATGCAGAATCTGCTTTGAAAAGTCTGCTCATCATTCCATATCTGTTGAATAATGAGCCTCGTGAAAATTTTTTTAGACCAATTTTTCTTCCTTCAAGGCAATAACCAATTTATAAATTAACAAATATCACGGTACAGTACTTTCTTTTTTGAATTAATTCTGTTTCGACAAAATAGGTTTAGTTGCACCTTCTCATTTTGGTGTTCAATCATTGTTGAAAAGAGGCTCCGAAGCTGATATGAAGTAGTTTAGTTAATTTTTACTGAAAAACATTGAAGAACTATCCGATTGATTGGTCTCACACTGCACAAGTATCAAGGATGAACTGCACAAGCATCAAGGATATTAATAAATTTTCCTTTGATTTACAGGGTACTGTACTTGTGCACTTTTTCTTTTTTTCTTTTTCAAGCAAGCTTTACCTTATTTTACAGAAAAAGCATCAACAATAAAATATTGAACATTTTTTCAGGAGCGGCTCCTCAAGATCTAAAGGCTCATCTATTTCTAAATCATTGGGCAGCAAAATAAATGCCATTGCGGTGACCTGGAGTTGGAAATTTTCAATATATTTCATATATTTTATGGCACATTTAATTAATTAAATAGTTGCTGGATAAAGATTATGGCATAACTCATAAGGTAATTTAAGTCTTTACCAACAACTATACCAATTACAAGAAAAAGTCGGATGCAGTTACCCAACGCATCAGAACGCGATAGAGAAATTACAGGCGTTCTATGAACGGCAAATATTAAGTTCAGAGTCTTGATTCAGTTATCTTCTTTTGAATTACTCAATAGAAAATTCACTCCTCTAAAATATTTGTGGGGACAAGAACGGCTTTCAACTTTCAGGTAACTAACAACAAGAAGCGGCGACGAGTGGCACGCTAGAGTGTTGGTAGTAAATTAGCTGATACACTAAATTTAGCACAAATTTCATTACAGAATAAATTTTAGACTGTAAGATAAGAGTAAAAGAAGTGGTACAATATTGAGTTAAATCAGCCTGATGAAATAATACTTCACAAATTTCATTACTGAATAAATTTTAGCCTGTAAGATAAGAGTAAAAGAAGTGGTACAATATTGAGTTAAATTAGCTTGATGAAATAATACGGGCATCGTAGCGACAATTCGAGGGAACTGAAATGGAGAATTTCACTGCGCCACGTCCTTTTCCAATTCATGTTTTACATTCTGATAGGTACCAGCTACATTCGGACACGATTATTGGCAACTTCTTGTCTGAAAGGGAAGGGGATAACTAATGTGAAGATTGAGAATTTCCCAATTAATGTGACAATAATAACACAAATTTTATCACCGATTAATATCGACTGCTGATGTGAACAAGAGGTTTACGGCTACATTAATTGCTGAGATTCGTAAATTTAATAGATAAATGAGCCATTTTTACATGTGAAAGTTAATACTGTACTTGAATGCAACCGTAAACGTTTTCATGGCAAGCAAGAGTTTGTGAGAAAGCATATTTCGAGTTGATACATCATAAATGCTTGAAAATAAGAACTTCAGACATCCTTTCACCACCGCTGACAAGCCAAATCTGGTGAACATTAATGTTATGGACAGATTTTTTTGCAGCCCAGGGCTTCACACCTGCGCAGGGCCCGACATTAAATTAATGAAAGAGCAGTATCCTCGTGTGTTTAACGCATGACTTTTCTTCCCCTGATAAATTTCTCTTGATTCCCTAAGCAAATTCATCTTATCATTCAAAATTATTGATAAATAGTTGATTAAGTTCTCAAAAAATTATGCGGGAATTACGTAAATTATATAAATGAATTTGTAGAAGTGTATATAACCTTTACATTCCAAAATGAACCAATGACAAACAATGCCATGTTTTACGAGAAATGAATATTCATGGTTTAATATGCACAAGTTCGTATAAGTTCTTTTTAGGATCGTTTTTCGTGTACTTAATTGTCAGGGACCTTGGACAAGAACAAGGCATTCAATTTCAATAAATTTTAATTTGGATTTTTTTTCCGGAATGCAGCTGAGGGAGTCAGAATAAAATTGAACATAGATCATTTCGTACGTGTAATTAAAAACGCAATCATCTAAATTAATTTGCTCACAGCTGCGTTTGTAACAATTAATATCATCTTCGACTGCTCTAACGAGCAGCCGGTCACCTGCGCTGCAACGTCCACTTCACATGAATACCTGACTTCTTTTAATAAATGAAATCATAAAGCGCACTTTATACAAGGAGAACAAGCGACATTTAAATCCAATTTCACCACTGCAGGAAAATTGGACCCTTAAAAAATTCACTAACTACCATTGGTGGACTGGGTATTTTTCACTCGATCCAGAATATTGAAGAAACACATAACAAATTTTATTGTGACTTGAAGGGTGATAATAACATTGTACCAATTCCAACTAGATGCTACGAAGTAGAAAGTATAAATAATTACACGAAACACACTAGAGGATTTGATCGCTTTAAAAGCAAACACACCAAATTCTGAAAGGCGTTACAGTTATTCCCTTTCCTAAATTAATCAAAAGTTTATTTCAACCAACATGACAGTTTACATAATCTGTTAGGCTTTTACGATGGAGTCTTGATAGTAAGGTGTTGGAGAATATGAGATCGAGTACAAAAATAGTAAATATTATATCTTTTAATGCGATGCATTAAAAGATGCGATGCATTTGCAGTTGCCATTAATGGATCGTACCTTAATGGTTATTTACACAATATCTCGTATGCAATTTTCCCGAGCGTTTCTCCAGGATATAAAATTGTAGGGAATCCTAGCCAACCAATTTATCTGGCCGTAGATCAACCTTTACTTTATAATAACCGAATTTGGATTACTAATCAAAGTAGAAATATTTTTAATGCCAAACTGAAATAAATAAGTGTTAGATTGCAATTAAGATACAAAAATGTAAATAAATTTCATAAATATTACTGATTAAAATTATTAGGTTATTATGGAATGAAACTGTAAAAGTTGATTAATTAATTAAAAAAATAAAAACTCATGATTATAAACTACAAATTGAAACTGATTTGAATCGCGAACACAATTATATCACTATTATATTCGGAATTAAGATCAGTTTCTACTACCATCTGAAATTTTCCTTTTATAGTATACCAAAATGGCTGTAACGAAAGCGGATGGTAGTAATAATCATTTCAATGATAAAATATCAATTATCAATAATGGCTTGATGTATTTACTCGATCGAGTATCATATGAAACGTCGAACGAGGAAATTGAGGAATATAGCTAACATGGAATTACCACAACTTTGAAAGGATTGAAAACTAACAAATACAATTCTGAAGAAAATATTATGTTTATCTTAATTATTGATACTAAGATAAACGAAAAATCGAATGATGGAGACAATGAAGTAAAGATTATTTGGGAGCCGCTGATAGTCAATTTAACGAAACAATTCCCCTATAACAAATTTTCGAATTGTGTTAAAATTATGGAAAAATGATTTACTGATGAAAAATGAAATCATGATTAATTAGTGCAGGGAGTCACAGATCGAAGTATAGTAAATCAAGTGCCGAGAAGGAGAAAGATCAGATGAAAGGACTAAACCAGCGTCATATTCGTTAGTTTGTTTGTGAGTTTTACTGTTTCGGCTCGAATTGTTGTGAAATCAGTGTTTTTGATTTAAAACGAACTTTCGTAATTTTATCATGTTTTAAAGAACCACGAGTTGTACAAGATTGTTCTAGGCAAGAGTTACACACCTTTCCCCGGGTGGGAAAAGTGTTGTGCGCCAGTTGTTGAACGATTTAACTTTGGTGCCAATGTGCAAAAAATGTATGTGTTCCGCAGCATTTAACTGTGTACGAGGTGACATTCAGTTACAGGTGAAATTAATGAAAGAAAAAAATAATATATCTGCATCACAATCAAAGGATTCAGGAACCAGCAAACCTAAATTTTTTTTAGAATCCCTTAAATAAATACTAAACTTTATTTTCCTACATAATAAAAAGATAAGTTTAAATTGCCTTGAAGACCCAAGTTAATCAACCTACATGCCACCATCTCGTGTCACTGAAGTTGAAGTCAAGTTCCCCAATTGTTCTTCGGTAGATTCCATGCAGGGATTAAACGAGATATTTATCGTAGAAGTGGTCAACATATGACCTGCGATATGCCTGTCGTTAGATTTCTCTTTTAGCAACTGACATTCACAACTCCCATTGCACGACCAATCACTCAATAGGTATTCGACAAAAATTAGTGAATTTTAATCGGTTTCACGAACGCCTGTGTTGAACTTCGAGTCTAAGCATCAGTACTCTCCTCACTTTTATCCTGTTTCTTACGCAATTCTTCACTGCTAATCGCCCGCCAAATTTGCCCATTCAAAGCGTTTCATGCTTGAATCCAATCGCAAATCTCACCCTCTGATCAAATCAGAAACTGATCTCATCACCCACTGATTGGATTTGCATCTGATCTCATCACCCAGTAATTAATGGAAAACGTAGCAATGAATGAATCATACAGCATGCAGCGAACCATGTCCAGAAGATTTCAACAAGCTGTTGTGGATTGTTATGTAGAGTTCATGCGCATCATAAATGACAGCAGCGTATTATTTTAATCGTGAAACTTCAGATCAAACTTTAACGAAAACGTAAATATTATCTCATCAAGAATTATGGAAAAAGAGCGAACAACGACAGTAATGACTGTTTCTCCGGCATATCTATTATTTTATAAAATGTTACTGCTGTATTTCCTCGCGATGATTTTGGCAATATTTCATAAGATTTTTATCTACTCCTCAAACATGAAACGTGCATGAGCGTTTGTGTTGTGACTGAGTACATGGACAGTTTACAAGGATAAGCCTGCACTGAATAAACTTGGTACTTTTAGCACTATATGGCAGTCTCTTTCCGTGAATTAACTGGATTGATAGTGGTGATATTGATGACAAGGAAATGTGGGAAAAGATCAAGAGGTGGCTCAGGGTGGAAAGAAAAATGCAGGGTAAACTGAAACGATAGTTAGAAGGCAAAAAGCGCTTGACTCATATTTTGGTTTGTCAGGTATTTGCAGGAGCCGTGTATTTGCTTCTCTTCTAGTAATAAAAATGTTACTAGTTCCAGGTGTAAAAATAAAACACTTCTACACCTGGAGTAGCCTATGCAAAGTTGTATTGTCACCTCACTGCTGTTCTTACTTTTACAAGGTCAGTCTTAAAAACACCACTTTCCCTCTTAAATATTCGTAGTGTTTTTTTTTCTCTAATCATACACCGAGAAAAAATGCCTAGAAATTCTCAGATCATAGACTCCATCGAAATAATATTAACATCTGTAGCGACAGTCACACCTTCCTCCGCCGTTAGGCTCTTCGTCTCTTCCCCAGAAGTGGGCAGCGCATCTTCGAACGCATGTCCTTCCCAATGGAAGATGTCCCAGCATGATCGTATTATGTATTTCTTCTTCTTGCCTTGCCAAAAATAGGAGACTATCCAGGCCTTTTCATCGTATTTCTCAAACTTTGGTCCATTGATTTCAACCCAAGGGTGTCCGAAGCAAGCGTAGTAGACTCCTTGGAGCACGTAACCTGTGAAGTAACTCAGCACGCAAATAGACCCTGATACCGCCATGAAGGTCGTGTCGTATTCGTTCTTGTCCAGGCCAGCCATTCCCACAGACAACAGAAGGAAATTCTCCAGGAACGACAACAGAACGAACAGTCCCTGTAAGGCAACACAAGGTTGGATGATAAATGTTTGGTGAGAGCTCGTGAAGTATGGGGCGCGATGCTAATTTTTAAACTCTCATCTAAATCGATCGAGCACAGTATCTTTCTGAATTCCTGCATAGCAAACAAGTTTGTAAAAAATTTGTTAACTTACGTCTGTGATTATACATGAGCATGGACGGGTAATGGCTGAAATGTCTGACAAATATTGCGAAAATATAAAAAATATAATTCAGTACTCACTGCAGTGAGTGACAGAGAGCGCATTTTCTCGTCGACGAAAACTTGAGGTCACGGACAGACGGACGGACGGACAGACAGACAGACGGACATGGCGAGCACAATAGTGCATTTTTTCCATAAATGAGAAAATGCGCTAAAAATACAAAATACCTGTATAATAACGGTAGAGTGGCGTCTTCTGAGTTGTTTCTTAGTGACGGACGGAGTTTCAAGTCTAAAGTAGACGAGCGTCGATGCGAAGGTACCAAGGAAGACATAGAAGTATGGCTGGAGGGTGGATATAAGACTGTGGCAGCAGTGATGAGGGCGTCGAGGAATCAACGAGCTGTCTTCCAGACGCAGTTTGAACGACAACATAATGATGAAATGCACGCCCAGAGCAACAAAAATGCGCCAAGTGTAAGCTAGCGTGAAGATGGTGCACGCGATTGCTCTGGACACCACCTACAACGATTGAGGACATATATGTATATTATAATATATAAGTGGGGGCGTTATTGAAAGCATTTACTTTTGAATTACTAAGCTATTTGAACAGATTTTAATTAGACCACGGACAATGCATGAGACGTAGATTTTCAGTGAAGAATATGAATTAATCTAATTCGAATAGAACACAATAAATCAAATTGGACATATATAGATTTTTATGATGCATCTCATGAACTCAGTTTCAGCTGCTGGAAATAATGGGAAACATTTTAACTTTTCTTTTGTTTGGATGATAACGTTGGAAAACAGCGCTTTTTACCTGAAAGAATATAGCAAACAGCAGAGGCAGTGCACTTAGAATTGGGAGGCCGCCAAGCTTTGAAAATCTGGGTAAGAAAGACAACGAATTAAACGCTAGCCTTTGCTCAACCTTCCAGACACGATAGCGATAACAGGTCAAGGTCTTTACACGAAGCATGTGCAGGGTCCGCCATATTTATGGCAATGCAAGCTTTTTGTTATTTCTCAATGAAACCAACAGGTGCATTGTTGTTTTATTGAATGAGCTAGTAGCCAAGAATTACCTAAACAATTCTCAGACATATTTATTCAATATGACCACCCTTATTTTTCTTAATGGCCTCCAATCTACGCGGGAAAGCTTCACAGGAGACACGTAGCATTTCTTGAGGGATCAAGTCCCATTCTCGTGTCAATTTAGACTTCAAACTATCCAATGAATCATGAGGTGTTCTGCAGACCCTACTCTCTAAAATAGCACACACAGAAAAGTCGAAAGGATTCAAATCAGGACTTCTTTAGGGCCATTCATATTTGCTTATGAACGCTGGGATGTGACCCTGAATCCAGTTTTTGGTCATGTTTGAGCCATGTGATGGGGCAGAGTCTTGTTGAAAACTCCATGGTGAGCCGTTGAAGTGTTTACGAGCCCAAGGTAAAAACACAGCTTCCAAAATGTCCAAAATGTATTGCTGACTGTTCAATTTCACTTGGGGGACAAAAACGAGTGGGGACCTCCCAGTGGCGGTTACCGCGGCCCAAACCATCACGGACATGGGATTTTGACGTCGTGTTGCTGTTCTGGTTGCCACAGATCCACCCCGACTCCAAACTGTCATTTTGACTGTTAACGCGTTGTTCAATGTCAAATTTTTTCTCGTCACTGAACACCAAGGGCTGCGTGCCATCCTCAATGAGATCCAGAATGTGCTGGCGTCTTTCGAGCCTAATTCGTTCATGACGGTCTGTTAGTTAGACTGTTCATCAATGCGAGGACTCTACGCATTGATGTCTGACTGACTCCTGCTTCTGCAGCCAATTTTGCAGCTGAGCGACGAGGGTTTCTTTCCCCTCAACTTCTCCCTCGTGTTTTTGACCAATTGTTTTGTTCGGACACTTCGTTTCCTTCCTTGACCAGGTCGATTGCATGTTTCACCAGTTTCCTTGAATTTTTCACCACCTTCCAAATAGTTTCACGACGAATTTGAAGCTTTTTTTTTTTGCAATGACTGAATTACTCTCGCCCTTTTCATGAAGGGTTACAATTGCATTTCTATCTACTGCCATAAGTAATAGTAAATTTAGACACCTTAGACTTCTGCAATATGAAATAGATGAATTAATAGATCATATTAAACATCATTATAAAAGAAAAGTCTCGTAGAAACCAATTTATTTTATATAGCAAACATCCGACCGATGCCATAAATATGGTGGACCCTGCAGATAATTTACATGTTAGTACCAAACCAAGTTTATAACAGTAAAATGTACATGTTTCACGTTAACCTCAAATTATTTACAAAAACTCAAGGCGCCTATTATATTCATAAATATTTAAAAATAGGTTAGTGGCACAACTTTCACCTGTGATAACTCGTGAAGGACCAGCTGAGCGTGACCAGAAAATTAACCTGAATTTATTTACAAAAACTCAAGGCGCATATTATATTAATAAATATTTGAAAAATAAGTTATTGGCACAACTTTTACCTGTGATAGCTCGTGAAGGACCAGCTGAGCGTGACCAGGGATATGGCTACCGAGAAGACCTGCTTGTAAAGCCTCGCCTCTTGCCCGTCTGAAGACCTCGTCAATATGGCTCCTATGGTCACCTCTCGCACCTTCATGCGTTATAAAGCGGCAATATTAATAAGTCTGGACATTATTTTCAAAAAATTATTGACGGAAAATATATATATTACAGCTTTAGTATTAAGGCATATAATTTTAGTCAGTAGCTTAGTCAGTTTTAGTTTAGTAGTGGCACATAATTTTCATTAAGGTGAGCAGGATTCCGCACTTGAACTAAATACAGCAAAGAATACAATTCCGTGATAAATATCTCAACAGTTCGTCATTTGACGCAAGATTTGTTAGACTCATGCATTTTTAACAATTGCTGTTGATACCAGATCCTTCGAACGAATTTTTTAAATTGATTGTAAAATTATACAGAAATTGACTGTAAAATTATACAGCCTTAAAACTATGCAGAAATTGTGTAGGATATATAAAAGTTACTAAGACGCTACTCTACTCATCATTTCAGAATATGATTAATGACGAAAAATACCTTGACAAGGTCCGTGTACTGAGTGCCGACGATGTAGAGCTGCAGGATGAGCTGCGGAGCAGACTCCAAAGTGGCCTCCATGACATTAAAGATGGCCACCCTCATTTGCGCAATGTGCTTGAAATCGCTGTATTTTCTAATCTTATCGTCACTGTCGGGGTCATAGGACTCGTTGTACTCACACCGGTTGTTCCGCTGCCCATGCAAGGTAAACGACTTACGACTCATTCTGCTTCAATTAACGCTTTATCATGTGACTCTTGTTCAAAGACATATTCCGTGGCAAGATCACTTGAAATCACTCAATAATAATTCTGCCATAGAATGCCACCAGTGACTCCTTACGTCATAAAGCAACAGAGTCAGCCTTACGTCATAGAGCAACAGGGCCAGCCTTAAGTAATAAATCAAGAGAGCCAGCCTTACATCATAATGCAACAGAGCCAGCCATACGTTATAAAGCAACCGAGCCAGCCTTACGTCATAAAGCAACAGGTCCAGCCTTACGTCATAAAGCAACAGGTCAAGCCTTACGTCATAAAGCTGCAGAATTACGTCATATAGCAACAGGGCCAATCTAACGTCATAAAGTAACAGGGCCCACCTTACGTCATATAGCAACAGGGTCAGCCTTACGTCATAAGGCAACAGAATTACGTCATATAGCAACAGGGCCAGTCTAACGTCATAAAGCAACAGGGCTCGCCTTACGTTATAAAGCAACAGGGCCCTACTTACGTCCTGAAGCAACAGGGCCAGCCTTACGTCATGTAGCAACAGGGCCAGCCTAACGTCATAAAGCAACAGGGCCAGCCTTATGTCATGAAGAAACAGGGCCAGCCTAACGTCATAAAGCAACAGGGCCAGCCTTACGTCATAAAGCAACAGGGCCAGCCTTACGTCATAAAGCAACAGGACCAGGATCTGTCTCTTATACACATCTAGATGTGTATAAGAGACAGGAATTAATCTAATTCGAATAGAACACAATAAATCAAATTGGACATATATAGATTTTTATGATGCATCTCATGAACTCAGTTTCAGCTGCTGGAAATAATGGGNAGCCTTACGTCATAAAGCAAAAGGACCAGACTTACGTCATAGAGCAACAGCCTTACGTCATAAAGCAACAGGACTAGCCTTACGTCATAAAGCAACAGGAGGTTCAAATGTTTCATCTGCGCGTAGGTGTTCTCCAGGTGGACGAAGATGGGTGCCAATGGCGGCAAAAACATCAGCACGTACAACTGTAAGTTCACAAAAAATTATATTGCGTCTTACAGAACTTTAGAAAAAGTCTTGTCTTGTCATGTTTCAAAATCGTTTCTTTTTTCAAGTGAAATTTTTTTTAACCAAAGGTGTTATTAAACGTGTATTACGTCGTTTACTTTAGTGCTCAACGCTTACCATCAGATCAGGTCACGCAGGGAAAATTAACTTGAAAGATTTTTGAGTCGTTACCTCAGCCAAATACTGAATGATTACTAAACGAACCTTAAATGTTAGTATGTGATCGATGGCCGCTCTAGTATTTGATTATATTTAATTATATATCCTATAATCAAAATCTTCTTCATATTGATTGGCATCGGGCTTCGTTTTTTTCGAGACACCATATATGAGAAGTAGGATCATTACCCAGATTCGGCGGCTATTCATGACATTTAAATCTATTAAAAAGTTTGGGCAAGCAACTTCGGAAAAACTAAAATGCAAGCCAACTAACTTTTTCATTATTATTAAACAAGAGAATCGTTACTTTTTACTATTATTTTTCGAGCCAAACTGCGTATAACTCGAGCCTTTGACCAGTGACTTTCTTCCCGAATCGTAATAAATTTCGATGCTAAGTGTACGCTGAAGCACCAACTCCAGGAGATTGAGTTCACTCACCAAAAGTCTGACAGTGGGATGCTTGTTCTTCATAATCGGCAAGATGTCTCCCTGTGTGACGTGTATGTAGAACGACCACATCGATAGAAGCGCGGCTGGTAAGAGAATGAAGAGCATCGTCAGCACGAAGTTAGTTCCGTCTTGATTCATGCTCATCAAACTTCCCTGAAAATATAAATATTATTGGTTTCATATGGTTCATATGTTTTTTACCCGAATTTATATCGGTGGCCGATCTTTTTGGACCCGAAATTCATCCGCATCAGGATGCCCTAAAATCGGAACTCAATTTCTCAAAATCGGAACTCAATTTGTAAACATTTTGTGCGTCAATTCAATTCTCTATTTGTAGACATTTACACCTCCGAGAGAGGCCAACGACGACGCGGTAATGATAAGGTCAAGTGACATGATTTGGACCCGACGTTATCTTTGAGTGTTGTTGACCCCTTTCAGGTCATGCCCAACTGGCGTAACCTTCTATCTAATTGTACCAGAAATTTTTTACTAAATGTTACTCTGCATAAAATGAGTAAATAACTGGACATCATCTTGAAATAATCCTTCCAGCTAATGTCCATAGGTACGGTACTAATAAAACATTTAGGGTGGGATTACATGTAATCAAGGTATTTGAAAAGGTCGTGGGCAGAAGGTTGGTGCAGTACATGGAAGAGGCTAACATTTTCAACAGAAGGCAACATGGTTTTGAACGAAATCGTTCCTGTTTGTCTCAGTTACTGCATCATCATCACCAAATTCTGGCCATGCTAGAGGAGAGGACCAGCGTGGACGTGGTGTATTTAGACTTCGCGAGAGATGTTCTTCAAAAAGTTAAGACTACTGGGAGCCGGAGGGGAATTTTTCGAATGAATCCACAACGTCCTAACTGAAAGACTAAAAGCTGTCGTTGTTAAAGCTCGAGATCGAGCGAGACTACGGTGATGAAAAGAGTACCACAGTGCCCGATTTTCGGCACAATCTTCTCCCTCATTCACATGCATCGCCGATATAGATGTAACAGTGAACAACACCTCTACATCGTCATTCGCGGGCGACACCAGGATACTAATGACTTTTACTCTCCGTGGCTTGACCGAGGCTGTTTAACGTCCTACTAAAGTATCTAAGAGAGGGTGAGTTCTCTCTGGAGACCTTCAAGAGCAAATGGTCGTGTTCCTACGCACAATCCCTGATCGACCTCTTCTGCAACACTACCAGCGGCGAGAAGCAAGCAACAGCGTCGTGCATCAGGTGGCCCAAATGAGGGCGGATGAACGATAATCAGAGGCGGCGATCCATCATGATGGAACTGCTAAGTCTTAAACATATATTAAGGATACGTAAGAAGAGTGAACTCGATGCTATAGTTAACTCGAAGCTAGAGTTAACTCGATGCTATAGTTAACTCGATGCTATAGTGGCATGCCCTCGGTGTTTCCTATTCGTAATCTGGGATAGTGAGAGAGAAATCACTCACAACACTGACAACATTGAATCTTAACCACTAGCAATGAGAAACCATACACCTTCAAGGTGAGAATATAAGTTTTCAGTTGGATTGCCTGCAGATGCTAGTAATAGAAAATTTGTATTAATTCCCGTGGACTACACGTTAAGCTGCAGCGTGTAAGTAAATTACAAGCCTATAATTGGCTGTTCAGCGAGAGTATTTTGACAATACAATTCTGTTCGTGTTTAGTATGTACACTGTTTGATAATACCTATAAGCGTTGGATTTATGCTTTATCGTACGTGAAATTTTGTATTCGTGTCCAAACACAAATGAATAATAACTACAGTTTATGAAAAATAAAAATAACACCATTGAAAAAAATATAACTCAGTACGCACTGCAGTGAGTGACAGAGAGCGTATTTTCTCGTCGACGAAAACTTGAATTCACGGACAGACGGACGGACAGACGGACATGATGAGCACAATGGGGCTTTTTCCATAAATTAGAAAATACCCAAAAAATCAATAGAAAATTAAAAGTTCACTCAAGCATTCATCATCAATTGATTATTTCAAATCGTCTCATGTCCTCTCAAACTATACGTAACGCTAGCTTAATGACTCTCAATTAAGTACACGTAAAACTAATTACGACTACCAAGAAAAATGTTGGCGCAAATTGTTATGACAATTCAACTCAGGAGCGTGTTAATGTACCTTCAACAGTGACTACAAAACATTTACGCCACTATATCTTCACACAGAAAAGTATTAATAACCCGAGGCCAGAAGTAAAAGATGATACACGTACAACTAAGATCTTTCACAAAGCTATGGACTGAGACAAATTCTATTGAAAGTTTTGTTAGAAATCAAGGATAATGTTAAAATAATATAAGAAGCTTACATCTTCAGATACTTCACTGTAATTTGCATTCATGAAACCCTCGTAGTACTCGAGTGCCAGCAGTACATCGGAGCCGACGTCGAGACAAAACAAGAAGGAAGGCATCAGGAAACACGACAAGAAGAACCAGAAGTTCCAGCAGCATTGCTGAGCGGGCGTCGATGCGTACATGGCCTGGCAGAAACGCAGACATGACAAACTTGTTGTCAAATCCATAAACTACAAAATACAACTCAGAACTCACTGCAGTGAGTGACAGAGAGCGCATTTTCTCGTCGACGAAAACGTGAAGTCACGGACGGACAGACAGACGGACGTACAAGGCGAACACAATAGTGCATTTTTTTCCATAAATGAGAAAATGCGCTTAAAAATGTTTGTATTTAGCACATATCTAAAACAGGGCGAATTGCAACCAGTAGGTACATTTGATTTAGTTATTGTTATTCGTTCGACGAAAGAGCTGTTATCAAAATTGCAGATTATGTTGCATTCGTTATGTATAAATATATGATGGGAAATACATCGATTGATGGCCAATCGTGTCAATACATGGCTCAAAATACGCCGGGATTAACAATTATACTCTGAGGCATTTGCAAATAATTTCCATTCAAGTCTCGAGAAAAATATTTTCCTCTCACCTGCAGCTGGCTCCAGGCCTTGGCTCCCACCTGCAGCTGTTTCCTGGCCTTGGCTCGCACCTGCAGCTGGCTCATCCTGGCCTTGGCTCCCACCTGCAGCTGGCTCCTGGCCTTGGCTCCCACCTGCAGCTGGCTCCAGGCCTTGGCTCCCACCTGCAGCTGGCTCCAGGCCTTGGCTCCCACCTGCAGCTGGCTCCTGGCTTTGGTCGAGGCCTCGGTGGTTCCAAGCTGGACTCGGAGGCACATCTCGGCGACCGCCTTGGATTCATGAAGCTGCTTCTCGCACTCCAGCACTCGCACTAACGCATTGTCAAACTGCCCGTAATGAATTTTATTTCAAAATTCAAGAGTCAAAAACTTAGGAATTGTTAAATTGTTTTTCAGAATTTAAAAATTATTTATGTAATTATTAGTTAACAGCAAATGATGCCAGTGAAGGGTATGCCTTTCATGGTTTTCCATGATGATCGGTAGTTAATTATTTGTTGGGAGAACTAATGCGTTTTAGATATATTCCGCAGTGTTCTACTTACTCTTACCGAATAATTTGCTATGGAAATTATATGTTCTCTATTTCCTTAGTGCCAATTAAATACAGTATTAAACAAAGTCATACGCCGTAAGAAATGAAGATTTCTTACAGCGATATGCGCTGCAAAAATCTCCATTTCTTTCAGCGCATATCGTCATTTAAAAGCAAATAGTTATCGAATAGGCTGCAAATAGTTATCGAATATAACTCTAAGTTAAAATCTACCTGAATAAAACGTTAAACTCACCTGGCCCAGGTTATTTCCTTCAGTGAAAAACTGCAACAGAGTTTCATCATTTTTGGCTTTGACGTGAACTTTTTCAACCAAACTGTAGTCCAGAAACCGCTGCACGATGTCATATCTGAAGAGGAATAATGATTTTCAAAAGAAATAAGACTAAAATGAAAAACATAGCGGAAATTATATTTCTTTCATCGTTTGCCTTGCATAAACACACGTAAACCAACTAGCGGAAAGAAATATCACAAGAAATGAGACGTACCTCATTTCGGATAATTGAAGTTAAATTGTACTTACGTCGTAATGCATGAATTCTCAACGAAATTCGTTCGTGAATTTCCCGGTACTATGACATCAAAAGCACTAGTCACACATGCAAATTATGCAACCTGCCATCTGTAGCGACATGGTCATAACGGGAGAGTTTAGAGAAGCATGTGCGGGCATTAAATTTAACCAATTTACCTGCCTTCATTGATGGCATAATATGCCGGTGTGTAGCCAAGGTGATCACATTTATTGATATCGATGTTGCGTCCGTTTTCCTTGCCGCGATTGAGAAGCAAAGTCACTGCCATCACGTTGCCTATCTTGGCAGCTACATGCAGTGCTGAGGCGCCTGTCTTGTCCGTGATGCTTAACTTAGCGCCAGAGTCCAGCAGATTCTGGATACACGCCAACTGATTGTTGCAAATAGCCGAGGTGAGTGGCGTCGCACCCTGGGCGTTCCGTAAGTTCGGGTTCACCTGAATAAATATTTAATTGAAATAGTATTGCATTCACCAATTGAAAATAAACTAACTTCATATGCTGCCCCGTATTCGAGTAAATTGTTATCTTGAAATTCAAGAAAATTAGTTCAACCAAATGTGAAACGTAAAAACTTAAATATTGCCTATTCGTTCTAAGTTTAATAGCAAAGTAAGCAGTACTACAATTTTGGGACCATTTTGGGACACCTGCGGAATAATTCATCAGAGGCACATACTGTACATCCCAGCTGTACAATGAATGTACAATGGATTGATGCAACTGCAACCCATCGAGTAAAGTTTCGGTTTATTAGCTAAGAACTTTCGTTCTTACCTGTGTCACTGATCTACGAACGGCATTTTCTATATGAAAAGAAATAGTATTAAGGTAAAAGTTTGCAAATATTTTCTCTGAAATTTATGAATTTGTGTGAAGAAAAACAAACATATTGAATAGGTCTCACCTTCAGAGACAAGAGTTCCTTCATCAATTTGAGGTAGCCTTTCTCAGCAGCAACATGCAGTAGAGACATGCCGTCTGGGCGACATGCCGTGAGCTCGCACACGTCGGTATCTTTGATACATTTTACGATACGCATTCCGACTTCTTCACTCATTATGCGCATCCAATTCTTGTCTACCCAAAAATGTATGGAAATTTTACTGTTTTCACACTCTATTAAAAAATTTTATATTGTTTCTGAGGTTGAAACGGTAGCATAAGAGGTCGCTAGTACTTTATTAACTTCTCATGAAACAATTCCTATAGAGAATCTACTAGGCGACGCGAATCGCAATTTACAGTAACTTAAAGTTAATGAAGTAACCTTAATTAATGAATAATCAAAAGATATTATTGTACACAATATATTACTGAAGGTTTAAAACACACTCACCCTCGCAAGTGAGTTCGACCTTCTCGCGTTGCTGGTTTTTCTGCAGCAAAAGATCTACAATTTCGCTGTTGCCCTCCCACATCGCCAAGCCCAGTGGACTGCGACCGTAGGAGTCACGGGAATCAGCCTACAGGAGTTATTTATTATTAACAATGAAGAATATATTTTATTATTAACAATGAAGAATGAGCAAGATGCAATTTGTTATGATAATATTGTCTAGTAACGAATTTCTGGAGAAGTGTAACAACTTATTATTGAGAACTAGTGAAACTGAACAGCAGTCACGCGTGATTTAGCCGCATTGTTTTTTATTTACGTGACAGTGGTTTTCTCCTAATATTAAAATTTCACTGACAGAATTTTGAACAATCAGGTAAAAAAATGACGAGTACCAAATAAAACTTGTACAAAACTAAACGAATAAAAAATTAATTCATCTCAGCTATCATTCTAGCTATGAGTTAATCTCACATTTCAGTTTGTGCGTCACATTGAACAACCCAAGTATACATCAGGGCAGGGTGGCCCAGTGGTTACAGTTCAGAGTACCAAGATTGGCGCAGATAAGCGCGGGTTCGATCCCAGCTCTGTGCGCCAGATTCTGGTCAGAATCGGCAAGGAGGCCGGTCGGTTAAGCAGAGCGAAATTGTAGCAGCGCGTTGCGAGTTCAAGACCGCAACAAGCTGTGAATGTTCTGCGATGTTAAGAATCGGCGACAGGCCTACGGCCTAATAAACGCTGAGACCGCTAGTATTATTATATTATATATTATCATACCTTGAGACCGCGTTCAAGAAGGCTGTTCACGATGTCGCTGTGTCCCTTAGCAACAGCCCAGTGCAGGAGGCTGGAGCCTCCGAGCAACTTAATGTAGGGCTCAACCCGCGCATACACGGCATCTTGGTCTATGAAGTTTGTACGGAATTAACATGAGAGCAGGAACCCTAACCAAATTTAGAGTCGCCACAGCTTCTGGTAATCTAAATCAGAAGCTGCCGTGTCTGTAAATTTTCACTGGGAAACAAAATTTAGAGTCGCCCCAGCTTCTGGTAATCCAAATCAGAAGCTGCCGCGTTTGTAAATTTTCACTGGGAAGTAGATATTTTTGCTGGTGGCTATTGAGAATGGAGGTTATGGATGAATGTGATACCAGCTTTGTTATCAAGGTTTTGTAATAAACTTGATAACAGCTTTCTCACAACAATTGACGAACAATTTTACATGTGTTTATTATATCTCATTTATATACCTCAATAATATTCGAAATGATAATAAATCGACGTTAAAAAGTTAACTGACTAAGATACAGAAAGTTGTTTGACTGATTTTCCCTTGAAGGCAGAATTCTTCCAGCTTAAATTTTTAAGTTAAACGTACATGCATGAAAAGTTCAAGCAAGGTAAATCCCAAATAAGATTTAAAAATCATTTTAACATTTTACATGAATTATTCTCAGTTTGTTTGTCCGGAAGGTAATTAAGAAAATGCTAGATTTCATCATAGTAAAGATCTATCGCAAAATATTTATATCAAACATTTCCTAAAAAAATCACGTTAAATCAACACACATTGAAGTAAACGTAAATGAAGGAACGAACCATCAAATGCGGATGGTTGATTCATGCCATGACACTGCGTGACAGCAACGTTTGCGGACGCTTCCCAAGCAACAACTTTGCGACGTTTCTTAAACGTTAAACGCTTCTTGGACCGATGGCTTCCTCCGTCGCTCACTTGAACAGCTGTTCAAAATGTAACGAAGCTAAGATCAGTAAAATCAGTCTCCAATAATATAGTATGAATTGTCACGCTGTAAGCTTGCTGATGTATAAACGGAAAGATTAAAAAGACAGCTTGTAGAACGCATTTTCTATGTCATAAGCAGAATATAATATTAAATAAGAAATAGAAACAACAATAAAACAGTGTATATACAGTCACCCAGCCGTTGTAAGCCAGATGATCTCTGGTTATTGATAGATAACGCAAAGTTAATTATTCTAGCATCGTCATAAGAAAGAACACTAATGATTCACTTCCACCGCACTCAAATCTAATTAATTAGGAAGATTTTTGTTGAAAATTTTGTAATTATGCTAGATGTAGAGATTCGAATCAAGTGAACATGGCCTGAAACCAGTTGCAATACTTTCATTGTTCCTGACATTTAATTACTGTTCGAATTTTTTTTATGAGCAAAACAGTCTACAAGATATTGATAGAAAAGTTACATTCATGAAAACCTTGTATTACACCGAAAATAATTAACTTAAATATTTGGTAAGTTACGATTGCTAGCTCTGATGCCGGGTAACTTGTTCCTGGCTCTGCTGACGTTCAGTTTAGGGTCAACCTTGTTTTCCCAAGATTTTTATAGAGTGGTTACATTCATATCATAAACACCCTGTATTACTCAGAAAAAAAATGAACTTAAATACTAGGTAAGTTACGATTGCTAGCTCTGATGCCGGGTAACTTGTTCCTGGCTCTGCTGACGCTCATCTTAGGGTCAGCCTTGTTTTCCAGCAGGAGCCTGAACAGCTCGACGTTGTCCTCCGCAGCAGCGATGTGGAGCGCCGTCACGCCGTGTTGGTCGGCGATGTTGACGGCAGCGCCGGCGTCCAACAGCGTCTGAACGGCGCCGGCGCGGCCCTGACACACGGCGTGATGCAGGCCCGTCCACTCACCGGCATCACGCATGTCTACTGCAAGGCTGAGTGATAAAAAATGTGTTACAAGGTAGGCTGAAATTATTATGATGAAGGCTCGTCCACTCACCGGCATTACGCATGTCTACTGCAAGGCTGAGTAATAAAAAATGTGTTACAAGGGAGGCTGAAATTATTGTGATGAAGAAACGTCCATTCACCGGCATCACGCATGTCCACTGCAAGGCTGAGTGATACAAAGTGTGTTACAAGGTAGGCTGAAATTGTTATGATGAAGGCTCGTCCACTCACCGGCATCACGCATGTCTACCGCAAGGCTGAGTGATACAAAATGTGTTACAAGGTAGGCTGAAATTATTAGTAAAGGAGAACCAAGATAGTGATGAAATGCGATACTGAATGGTAACGTCCCAAATGAGGAAATAAGTACATTGGTGGATTGAAGTGCCATCAATTGTAACGTTGAGTCATAAAAATACTTCAAGACAGTAGGTACTAATGATCATATTAAATAAAACCGAATCACTAAATAATTTACTAATATGTAACACACTGTAGCCTTATGTGTTTCTAATTTTTGTACCGTGATTTTTCTTGTAACTTTTTGCGATCTTTCAACAGTTATTTCCTATATTGTTTCTGTTAAATTTGTACTAATTCTTCATTAATGTTTTTGTGCCTTTCGACTTTTACTGGCATTTTCATTTAGAGAAAAAGTCTGTTCACCCTGATCATCCAAAGCGAGTAACTTTTATTCTGTTAGTCGTGAAACACTGCGCTTCACTGATGGTGAATTTTTCGTGAGATCTAAAATTGTGCTGTGATATTTGTGCATTGTAATTATTTTTTTTAATAATTAAAGTTAAGCATTATAGCCGCATCATGTTAAGTTTATGTATTATTTATGTTGCAGAATCATATTAGTTTACTACGAACAATTAATTCAGTGAGTGACATCCGCTGGGTTCACTTTGGGTTTATTTCGAGTTCGCTTTGCATTCATTTTGAGTTCATTTTGGCTTCATTTTGTGTCTTACCAGTGCCTTCGTTACCAATAAATCGTAAAAATCCATGTTTACTTTAAAGCACGGAACAACACCACACGACAAATATAGTCACTGCCACGCCAGACAAGACTTGTGAGTCTGGACAGTACTTACTTCAAGTCTTTTCTATTATAAAGGATTAAAGTGCAAACTTTAAATTGCTACTCTTCAATAGAACCAAAATCCGACAAAACAAGCTCCGCGCAAGCTTGCTAGCTATGGTTAATAAAACATTCTATATACTGTATAACTGGAATTGACTCAATTGAAATCTTCTATGCGTTCATTACTTAAAACACTCTGATAAATTTCTATTGTGAATAAAGACTGCTTAACACTTTTAAATAATTATATTGTGAGTGCGCAATAATACTATGAGAAATTAAATATTAATGAAATCGACTCATATGTGGTCAACAAGAAAAATTTTTTGAAATTTCATACCTTAATGTTTCATGAAAACTTGGGCGACACTAACTTAAGCTTGTTCAAGTTATCGAGAAGATAGGAGAGCACCGCGCAACTGCCGTAGTGCGCTGCGACGTGCAACACCGAACATCTAACACCTCGCACGGGCGCCACGACCCCTGCACTCCACACCCCGTACGTGAGCAGCAACTCTACCACCTGCAATACAGAGAAGTGCTGTAAAAAAAATGCTTATAATTAATTAAACTTCAGCAAACATCTGCTGCCTTCAACACAGAGAAGTGCTGTGAGAAAATGCTTTTAATTAATTAAACTTCAGCCAACATCTGTCGCCTGCAACACAGAGAAGTGATGTAAGAAAGTGCTTATAATCAAACTTCAGCAAACATCTGCCTCCTGCACTACAGGAAATGCTATTAGAAATGGCTCATGATAGAATTTTACACCAGATATCTCCCTCCTTCAGTGGAGAACAAGACTTTGCACAGAACCCCAAATTGCAGAGATACATTTTATGAAAGAAATCCGCGGACTTAATTAATACGGGCTCATCTATTTCTTCACTTAATGACTGGAAATTACCAAATCACAGGTGTAGGACGTGGATATGAAAATAAAATAAAAACTCGAAAGTTATCAATACAACATTTTACTTCCCCATCACTGTCTATGTGATGTATGCCAGTCAATTATTAAATAAAAATCCCCACAATGACTCGACCGTCAAGCGTCACTCACGACCGTCTTAAATTGAGACCTTGACGCTGTCGCTGCGTGCCGCGTAGTGCACGGCCTGCCATCCTGTCACGGCGTCTTCGCTGTGCACTTTGATTCCAGCGTCCAGCAGTACACGTACTGCCTCCACGTCACCTTAACACAAGAATTAAATTGAATTCTTTAATAAATACAATTTAATTGTGTTAAATAATTAATTTATTTATTTGAATTAATTAAATTATTAAATAAATACAATTTAATTGTACAGGGTCCTCCAAAAAAACCTCCCTGATTTCAATAGGCTTTTGCAAAAATCATACGACACATACAAAACAATTAATTTTATTTGTGAATAGCTTATTTGATGCCATTTTACATCACTTAGTACACTTTACTTGGTTTTGAAAATTATGTTCGATAAATGATGTCCCCCATTGTTAAGACATTCGCGAAGTCTTTCCCTGAAGTTGCCCATAGTTCTTCGTGTAACTTCCCTTGGAATGGCTGCCACTTCCTGCCTAATGGCGTGTTTTAGTTCTTGCAGATTTCTGGGACGATGTTTGTACACTTCAGCCTTTAGGTAGCCCCACAGAAAGAAATCGCAAGGTGATAGGTCGGGTGACCATGGGGGCCAGGAAATGTCTCCTCTTAACGAAGCAAGACGGTCAACGAACAACTCTCTTAACATTTCCATGGACCGGCGAGCAGTACGTGTGAGTCTTTCTGTGGGGCTACCGAAAGGCTGAAGTGTACAAACATCGTCCCAGAAATCTGCAAGAACTAAAACATGCCATTAGGCAGGAAGTGGCAGCCATTCCAAGGGAAGTTACACAAAGAACTATGGGCAACTTCAGAGAAAGACTTTGCGAATGTCTTAACAATGGGGGACATCATTTATCGAACATAATTTTCAAAACCAAGTAAAGTGTACTAAGTGATGTAAAATGGCATCAAATAACCTATTCACAAATGAAATTAAGTGTTTTGTATGTGTCGTATGATTTTTACAAAAGCCCATTGAAATCAGGGAGGTTTTTTTGGAGGACCCTGTATTTATTAATTAATTTATTTATTTGAATTAATAATAAATTCTTAAATAAATACAATTTAATTGTGTTAATTAATTAATTTATTTATTTGAATTAATTAAATTCTTTAATAAACACAAGAATTATATCTAACCCAGACCAGCTATGAGGCACTCATTACACCTCGGTTGCACTAGGAGCCTAATATATCTTCTCTCTCTAGGAGCTGGGTGCTTTCATACAAATGATGTTTTGTTGTGATTTGCGAATGAGGTGTATGAGGATGAATACTATTTACCGTGGTGCTCATTCAACTCTTATTCATATGTACCAAAAGTACAGATATCATAAGATACACGCTGGTATTACTATTTCATGATGATTCCTGTGATAGATCATACCCAAACGATTAACTTTTATTTAGAAAATAAATGGCCAATTGAGTTTTTATTTTACACAAACTATTAAATGCATAATTCTGGATTATGTCTGATTTAAGTGGAATGTCCTTCCATCACAATATCTTCACTCACCAGAGCAACAGGCAGCTACGAGAGCGTTCCGTGCCTCCGTGACATGAGCATCAAAAGTTGTCTCGCTGCGCGCGTTTTCAGCGGCGCTAAAATCACCGCAACTTGCGGCTCGGTTCGAGGGTAAGCCTGAGGCAGTATCCCGCAGCAGGTCTTCCGGGTTGGGGGTTCCTTTAGAAGCAAGCATAGGCTGTCATATTGAAATAATAGTATTGAACAAGCTGTGCAAGTTTCAAAACATAAGCTCTATACGTTATAAAATTAACTGTTCAAATAAATTTGCAGATGATTCAATTGAATCTAACTTCTTTATTTAATTGAAAACACGAGCTGAAAGTCGATACCAGCCAATAATATACACGACATTCTCAAAACTTACCGCTATATTCCCATCAAAATTATTTAAAGAGATATAAACTATTATATTCGCGATATTTCCATATCCACAATTCCAGCGAAGACATTTTGATGTTCAGCATAAAATGAGAACACGGATGCGTTGAAAACCGCTACTAAATCAACCGCTCGTTGAGGTATAATAGTGATTAATAATAACAACATTAGAGCAACGATCTGCGTTCTCGAGTCAAGCTAGCAGAAAATCTTCTACGTACGCTATAATGGGCGGCAGGAATCATGCTTTCACTTTGATTAAACTGTTTGCATATATGCTTCCTCATGTTATAATCTAAAAACAACCCAAAGCTAAAAAATTTAACTCAGTACTCACTGCAGTGAGTGACAGAGAGCGCATTTTCTCGTCGACGAAAACGTGAAGTCACGGACAGAGAGACGGACATGACGAGCATAATAGAACATTTTTTCAATAAATGAGGAAATGCGCTAAAAAGCATTCAACGATATACATTTTTATCTTTAAATTAAGAAAACGCGGCAAACAAAATAGACAAAAAAATTGATCCGTATCTTAAAATTTAAGTTTTCTAAGCAAGATTGTGAAACAATCATAAAGGTCAAATCTTGCTACGCAGAGACGGATTTCAGAGAGAAATATTCTTAAAATATTCAAATGCTTACCTTGAGCTGACACGGCGAGCCTTAAATGCAACTTTTCACCAGTGACGGGGAAATTACTTGGATTGCTGCGAGTTCGTCTGTGCTTCAGATGTTGCGTTAAGTTATGGCTTGTGCTGCAGTGGCTGTCACTGTTGCCCTCATCACCAGAGATGGGCGAGCCACTCTTGAACACTGAAGTATCTTTCATTGTTTAGTGGCGGCAGAATCGACCTTAATTCGAATATATTTTAATTGATTTTTAAC